TTCATAAACGTATCCCAACCTTTTTTTTTTTTTCTTACCTTCACCTTTCTTTCACCTTCACTGAACTTTATTAATTTACACAGTTGTTATACAGAATTTGCTAAATACATCATATTACCTTCTTTTGCTTTTCAGCAAGGTATTCGTATTAACCATATGCTTGTATGTTTGTTGTATGGTTTTGAAGGGTCGATCCAAAAGGGGATTATTTGATGCTTACGCCATTTAAATGGTTTAATTTAAATGGTGGCCCCTAACAATTAAGTAGTGGTTCCGTTGTGGCAAGGCGGAGGGTATGCATAGCATGGCAGTGCCTTTGTACCAGTAGGGACAATTGCACAAGAGACCAGTAACAGTTGCACTTTGTACCAGTATGGACAAGGGCACAAGAGATAAAGTCCCTTTGTGAAGGTAATGAGCTGAATGCTGGAAATTAACAGCACTTTAATTTATATCTAAGGGGGGAAAAGTTTCCTTTTTTTCCTAGGGACTCGTCATAATCAGAACACGACAGAGGACTGCAAATAGAAACTTGAAGAAATTGTTGATTTGGGAGCCATTCTAAGCAGCTCTTGGATGGATGGATGCATTTAGTGAGCCTCCAAATGTTGAGTCCATTCAGCTCATAAATAGTCAAGGGCTGCTTGTCTTTTTGTATGCTAACATTAAAAAACAATGCAGCCATACCCTTCCACAGTGTTTGCAATCATTTCACTATAATATTTTAAATATACAATTGTTCATTTTCTCATTGGTCTGTTTGTTAGACCCAAATCACCGTGAATACCACCAGTCTAAATACGACCCTTAGAAGTCTATTTTATAAACAACCCGCAGGCCCATTCTTCCTCCTGAATAACTGTTCGCTCTGTTCAAATACATGCCAAAACAAATATTCTTTAGATTTTAATTTTTTCTTTAGAAGTGGGATACATTTTAGAATGTTTTCATTTAATATCACATTATGGTGTCTAGATGGAGCTAAAGGATCATAGGGAATAAGTATTTATTTTCCATGCTCAGCAGCTCCATCTAATGGCCATAATGTGATATTGCATAAAACATTTGAAAATACATTGCTTTGTAAAGAAACAACTATAGAACATTTATTTTGACATATGTCCGCACAAAGTTAATTTTTGCAGCTATTCGCAGGGCGAACGGCGAATGGCCCTGCGAATAGTTTATAAACAGACCCCTCATTCTCTATTATTCCAAAACTGGTCTCAGTTTGATTGTATAATCTTCTTTGGATTTGCTAATAGCCGTGTAGGGCAAGGGCATACCTGATTGGATATAAATTGGATTGTTTAGGTAAGTCCTTACACTACGTAGCTGTTGGTGAATAAAAAGAAGATTGCACAGGGGTAAATTGCAAGATGTGTGGCCAGCTTAAGATCAACGTTTAATGATAAAGGTTAAGGAAACATGCATATGTTAGGGCAATCAACATTAAAAGTGTTTCTTAACAGATATTTTACCTTGCTGAAAGGGCATAAAGGCTCAACAATGCACTTAGCAAAGTTTTGAAGAGATCAAGTACTAACCGGTCTATCAAAGGTGTACAATCTATGCTATATTGCATCTGTCATCTATGAAAAATAGAAGCAGCAAGTTGGACCAATCGTTAGCCGGTTCACCATGAGCCTAACCCTGTTAGGTCACCAGCTCCTAGCCAATCAAAGGGCTGCACACTCTCGAATACAGGTTCAGCCAGAACGTTTTTTAGTAACACGTGTCGTTACAAACTTTCATGGTGTCTAGAAACTGTTGGCCCTTAACTGAAACCTTTGGTCCTTATTTTACATGTTTGCAGGTACAATTGTCTCAGATTTTGCCTTTTGTTCTCCCATAGTGTCCTGGAAGAAAGAAAGAGAGGATCTGATTGGTTGTTATAAGGCAGCATGGACTATCTGAGATACTTCTACCCTTAGGCAATGGTGGATATAAGCCCATTGACCTTTCGAGGCTGTTTGGTATGGGAGTAATGGGAAGGCATTTTTTGTATGTTTACAACCTAGTCCCATTATGGGCTTGTCTTACGTTCTTGGCCTGGATGGTGGGACCCAAGCTTTGGAATGAGCTTGAAGGATCATCTAGTTACTGAGATCATCTACCAGTCTACAGAACTTTACATAGAGTATGTCTGGGCAAAATGTGTTCAGTAAATCACTGCAAAACACTCACATTGCCCATTGTTTGTCTCTTAAAAATGTTTGGAGTACAAAAAAATTCTTGTTGATCTGCTAGAAATCCAGTGAGCTCCTAACTTCCCGTAGTGAGTTGACAACCCTTCCTTTGCTGCACTGAAATCCAAAGAAGTGTTGTCAGACCCTCCCAATTCTCTTTGCTTGACTCCAGAAACCCCCCATGTGATGGAGATAAGGAGGGGTTAGATGTGCTGTAGTCTCGCAGAGGAGAACGTAGGTAGGGCTGCCCTACTTACCTAGGATTTCAGTACAACAGACGCGTGTTGTCAGCTCAAACAGGAAGTTTTGAGCTCACTGGAATTCTAGCAGATCAACAGGTCTAGCAGATAAACAAAAAAATTCAGTACATGCAAATACCCAGAAAAAAACCTTTCTGGGTATTTGCATGTACTGAATTTTTTTGTACTTATTTTTTTTCTTTTTTTTCTGTGCCCAGGTATACACTTTAATCCCAACAACACTAACAGCTCACAGTGGACAAGTAAAATGACCAACTTTCTTAGGTACGTCGTGATCTTTAACATCCATCCTGATGTGCCCATCTAAAGCTGAATCTAGATCGAACAAACTTTTTAACAGTATTGATCTCTTTGTTTCCGGAATTTTTGATTGAAGCTTCCGTCTGATCGAATATATTAAAAAATCTATTTAAAAAAATGACCTGTGGTACCCGTAGAGCCAATGGAGTGCCACCCTAAAGAATTTTGGGGGTCAACCTATTCATGGCCTTTGCATCCAGCTGTAGTGTACACTAATACCTCTAAATCGGGAGTAGGCAACCTCAGCACTCCAGCTGTTGTGAAACCACGAAGTCCCACGAGGCATTATAAGGACCTGATACAGACATGGCTCCCAGAAGCCTCTGCTTCTGAGAGTCATGTCTGTAGCCATCAGAGTCTTACAATGCCTCATGGGACTTGCGGTTTCACAACAGCTGGAGTGCTGAGGTTGCCTACTCCTGATGTAAATAATAGCGAGCCTGAAGACTAGCCAATAAACCACCAATAACTGGTATTCTGGTTTATTCAATAATGTGGCACAAGAACAAAGATGCCATTGGCAGTTGGTTATTACACTGAGAGTGGAACTTCAGCCAAATTGTGTTTTAAATAGAGTTGGGAACGGATCAGATACGCCGTCAAGTTTTTATTCCTGTCTGTGTCTCAACTCGGAAGATCTTCCCTTACTTCCTGTCCTGGTCTTCAAATATGTCATTGCTGTTACTTTCTGTTTCCTTTCTTTTTATGCACCCTATTGGATAATCTACTAGGCCCCGGTGACAATGTTTAGTTGTACGTGGAGAATGCACTTGAGAGAAAGAGTAAAAAGGAAGTTCAGCATACAGCAATGGCCTGATGGTCACTGGAACAGGAATTAAAAGGAATCTCTCCAGATAGGACCTTCCTACTTGACCTTACCTAATCCTACTTCCTACCTAACCCTTCCCTACTTAATGTGACACTAAATTCAGCAGTTAAATCTTAAAAATACATTCAAGTACCTTAACTATTAACAACAATGTATCTTATTTGTGTATCACTCGCCTGTAGATCCTCAAATCATCTCTGAATTGGTCCTTCCTTCAGGAGCGTGGCTACTTTTGTTCCCCATGGTCCCTGTGTGTGTTGTAAAGTAGTCACCGCTCCAAGCTTGCTCCCGGGATGGACTACAATCTCACCTTTAGTTTACTAATATGGATTGAGATTGTAGTCCCTCACGGGAGTGAGCTTGGAGCGGTGACTACTTTACAACACACACAGGGACCATGGGGAACAAAAGTAGCCACGCTCCTGAAGGAAGGACCAATTCAGAGATGATTTGAGGATCTACAGGCGAGTGATACACAAATAAGATACATTTTTGATAATAAATAGGGTACATGAATTCAATTTAAAGATCCAACTTCTAGGTTTAGTGTCCTTTTAATCCAAAACAGAATAATATTTTTAGCACATCATCATGGCTTCATGCAGTTCCTTCCTGAATAGGCCCTATGGTTTCAGTAGCTCAACTGTGCTTAAAAAATTGGGAGGAATCGCTGAAGAGCATCAAACTTTTGCTTCAAAATGGAACCAATGGATCCCAACGGTGTAATCTACACAGCAGCATAAGGCAGCGATTACATGAACAGGATAATAGAACAGTGTGGCAAATGATGGATCTCCCAAACATTGCTTCACCTCCCCATTAAAATAAAAAAGTATACATACCTTTTTTTTCCAAGGGTCTTCTAGTCAGTCCAGTGATGTCACATTTGCTCTTCCATAATAGCCTGGGATCAGCGGAAGTGGACTAAATGATAATGGCCGTTAATTAACCCAGAAAAGGAGCTGGAGGAGAGAACCATCTACGCGGGGACAGTCCTTTTATTTAACAAGAGTTGGGGTATGTATTTTTAGTTTTGTGAAATACCTGGAGTTCTGCTTTAAACACAACTCCATACTGCTGTATAGTCTTCACCATAATGATCCCTTAAACCAGAGGTAGGCAAACTCTGGCCCTCTAGATGTGGTGCGACTACAAATCTAATTAGGCATTGCAAGACTCTGGCAGCCACAGGCATGACTCCCAGAGGCAGATGCATGATGGGAAATGCCTATTGGGAATTGAAGTTTCACCACAGCTGGAGGGCCGGAGTTTGCTTACCCTGTAAACTATTATCGATCAGTTGGCATTAATCACAGTTGATATTAGCAGCTCAACTGGGCTACTCCCAGTGTAGCATGTACGGGTGTAGAAACATGATTTAATGTTGGATAGACACATTGGTGTGTGTGTATATATCCCCGGTCCTACTACATAGACGCTATCAACTATCAACTTTCAACCACTGAGTACATGTTACACCAAGTTACCACACACGGGAGTTTAGGGACATGACAGGGAAGGCGAACCGTCACGTAGAACGATACATTCTGATTTGTAGCACCGTGAGCACATATAGAATTGACCATTCTCACATCTTGATCGCACGACAAATAAAACCTTTAGAACGGTTCGGTGTCGGAAAAGTGCGGGCAACCGAGTGAAGACGGGAGGAAAGGGGGGAGAGAAAAAGGAACGAGAACTCTAGAATACAATCAAAGCATAAGCAATCTCCAACATATTCTGTGGCCTTGGTAAGAAAAATAATACGGTAGTAGTAGTAAGTGCTATTAAATTACTCTTTCGCTTCGGCCAGCTTATTATTTATCTCTTTGCTCTTCTCCTTGTCGTCCGGTTTGGCGGTGGAGGTGGCGGTCTCGGCCGCCTTCTTCTTGGAGGCTCGCCCCGGGGTCAGCTGCTTGTCTTTGGCCTTCTTCACAGGTTTATGGCTTGGGGTGATCTTTTTTGGTTTGGAGGTCTGGACGCTCGGCTTCTCCACCTGGAAAGACAGACGGACAGACCACAAAAACGGAAAGGACACACACGGAAAGGTGGGAAGAGAAGTTTTAGAATATTGCTCTGAGGGGTACTTTACATATGCTTTACACTTTCATTTATTTGTATGCATACAAGGTTTTAGAAGGACTGCACAGCTCACCGCCTCCCGAAATTCCCCCTCAAGTGCCTATGCTCGGATGGCATTACTACTGCCCATGTAGAAAATCAGCAAGCCCAGCAACTTAATATTCACATAAGGGTAAAATCTCACTTTATTCTGAACTATTCACAAAACTATGCACTGCTTGAAAAAGTACATGGCGCCCGAAATGCATTGGTGTGGTTTCTGATGTTATGACATTTTACTTACATGCAGATATGTAGTGCTGGGCTTTCTAAATTTTTGTTCCAAAACAATATCCGTGTTACCTACCTAAAGTGTCACTGTTGCCAGGGAAGTTGGGGGTTGCCAATGCTGGCTTTCTGAGCAATATGGTAGTTGCCTGGCTGTGTCTACATACAGTATTTTTGAGTCATAGGCCCAGGCTCTGGAAATAATTGGGCATCAGAAGCATGTCAGGATTCCCTATATCTATACTTGCATTGGTTCAGCAACTTTTAATACAATGAAGCCAGCATGACAGCCAGGGAGCTAATATGCTCAAATGGGGAGTTCAGCAATGGCAGCCTCCATGAATCTCATATGAAAAAGTCCCTTTAAAGTGCATCTCTGGCCATATCTTTTGGATAGGGTGGGAGGTTAGGACCTATGACATGTTTCTCCTGCTGCTTTAAAGGGATTTCCACTCATTTCCTGTCCTGGTGACAACATTGTTTCTTCTGTGTTATTTACGCTGATAAAATAATGCTGTGTTGACTGGATTTTGTCTGCATCAGACCGTCTTCTCTCCCCATACAAGTCTATGGGAATGCAAAAAGCAGATTGAAACAGGTCAAGTGTAAGTCAGAAGAAGGCCAACTGCAGGTCAAATGCGCCTGTCAATGTATTCTGAATATCAAAAGCAAACTGCATTTACTCATTGACAAAAACCCTTAAGCCCATCCACTAGGGTTGCCACCTGTCCGTGATTCACCCGGATAGTCCGGTTTTTGAGTCTTGTGTCCGGCCAGCGGACACCCCAACACAAGACACTAAGTACTGATACCAGACAGCTGCATCTGCCTGAAGCTGCATTTTCCTGAGAGTCACAGGCGCCTGTAAACAGACGCATGCCGGCCAGCACATCTCCTCCTTTGACACAATCCTCTCCTGACCCCTGGTGAGACTCCACACAGCCCGCACAAGAAACCCTGCATAGCCCACCTGAGAGCCCGCATAGCCCACCTGACAGCCCACAAAGCCCATCTAAGAGCCCGCATAGCCCACCTGAGAGCACAGACAGCCACCTGATAGTCCGCATAGCCCACCTGAGAGTGCGCACAGCCTACCTGAGAGTCTGAAAAGCACAGACAGCCCTCCGGAGAGCCCAGGGAGTCCACCTGAGAGCCTGCACAGCCCTGGTGAGAGCCTGCAAAGGCCACCTGAGACCCTGGAGAAATGAGGGTGCCACCCCAGGACAACACAGATTATGTAGTTTCATATTATTTTTGTATTGCTGTATAATGTATTGCTGGTATTTTTAGTCCTCTATAGCCGGTCTCCTTACTCCCTCCCCTGGCTGCCTCTCCTCGCTCTCTCCTCTATATTCTCCCAAAAAAAAATTGCTGAGCATGATGCTAGAGTGTTTGGGTTTCCCTTGAAGAGAAGGTTGCAACCCTACCATCCACACAGGCCCTTATACTTTTTAATCAGTTGCTCCAGACGTCCTCCCTCTGCTGGTACCCAACCTAAGCCATGGCAGTAGATCACATGGTCCCTGGGCGAGATCTGCTATTATATAGAACCTGGCTTTACCCTTGCATATGACCCAACACTATGGCTGAGTTTGAATAGCCAAGGGGGCCCCGTTCTGCTGACAGACAGGAATTACTCAGCTTTTCCTATAAGCTTTAGTTACAGGAGGGTAAGTTATAAAACATATTAAAGTATATCTATCGCCAAAACCTTTTTTCTCTACTTCTACATAGAGTAGGAAAGGGTTAAAATTAGGGTTGCACAGATACCAAGTACCGATACTTTTGAGCTCTAAGACTACACTAGAGAAAAATTCAAAAGTTAGGAGGCAGCTGTCATGTGTAAGGAGCACACGGAGCTCCCGGGATTTGTACATCTCTGTTTTAATGTACGATTTTGTTTTTATAAATATAAAGGGATGCACAGATACCAGTTTTGCAAGTACGAGTACTGGTACTTGCCGAGTACTTACAAGTACGAGTACTGATACATTTTTGTTTATTGTCATGTGACAGTTTTTCTAAAACAATACAGACTAATGATTTCAGGACAGTGGTGGAGTGCCAGAGCCAGGTCCCAGCTGCAACCACTGCAACTCTGGTAGTTCTCATGAAAATGCCAAGTATCCGCACTGGTACTCGAAAAGTATCTGTGCATCCCTAGTTAAAATCTATAGTCAGGTTTTTGTTGACATCTGTGTCACATTGGGGAGATTTCCCTTCAATTCCTGTCTTGTAGACCCAACAGGAAAAGGGAAACAAAATCTCTAGAGTGTGGGAAATCCTTACTAAGACAGCAGTTCCTAGAACAGGTGTCCCTATTGGAAAATATCAACTATATTGTTCTGGTGAAATTTTAAAATTTTGGATTTACTTACAACTTACAAGTGGAACTCCGGGAATTATGTTCTAGAAACGTACATTGGTCCAGCTTGGCTCAATATAAGCATCCATATCTGATCTCTGGAGGGCCCACGGGGGTGCTGAAAATCACTGTAGTAGTTAGCACTACCTACGGTGATAGCCGTGCTCTTCTGGGTATGGATCCAGAGGCTTCCCCTCTTCACACTGAGCACAGGTAGTCACCTGGCACCGCCGCCATTCATGAATTCCTTGTATTTTTTTTAACGAATACAAGGCGTTCTCTGACTGGACAAGGTGAAGACCATGATATCTCCACCCCTCCTCTCCACCTCATCCAATCAGAAGACACCTTGTATTCTATAAATATTATGGCAGTGGTGGCAAGCAAGTGACTCCTTGTGCTCAGTGTGCAGAGGGGAAGCCACTGGAGCCGCACCTGACCTACTATGCTGTATGTATCGTGGACTTCTACTACGACTTTCTGCACCTGCAGCTGCCCTTCGGAGATCAGAGCCAAGCTGGGTCAATGTGATTTTTCAAAAAAATTCCCAGAGTTCCCCACTTAATCCTGGTAAGGCAAGTCATCAGAACAAATAGAGAGGGGTTCTAACCCTTCCCCATTCTACACCCCAATCTAAAACCGATCATACATGTTACCATTTCATTGTAAAATCTCTGTTATGTGTTCCAGCAACTTGTACAAGGAATTGCCTGACTGGATACCATGTTGGTGTATCCCTAACCTTGACCATAGTTCCCAACTGCTGCTAATTAGGTGTGACAGTCACTCTTTTGCAACCGAATCCCTCTGTCCCACGTTCCTCTTTATTTGTCCCTCTCTTTGGTCTAGGTACAGACCTTTATGAATAAAATGCTATTCAACTATCAAATGCATAAAGGAAAAGTAGTGGTTGAAAAAGCCTTTGTGGGTTTAGTCAATCATTGTATTTCATATTTACTATTCAGGGTCTGTGGAAGCTTGGCGAGTCGCATCCTTTGCTTTCATACTTTGGAGGTGATTAATTGTAGCATGTCCCAATGGCTGCACCAAATTTATGAAGAAATACCATCGTTTTTTTTAGAGATAAGGAAACTGGTGGTAATAACGGCCAATGTTATTTTGGAGTAATTCACGTCAACAGTGAAGAGTTTGTCCCCACCATGTTATTGAGGCTGCTGGTGCCCTAGCAACCAATCAGACACAGCAGTGCAACATCATCGGTTGCTAGGATGGCAGTGGTCGAGAGCTCACTGACGTTTACTAATTTACTAATCCTGTCTTCCAGGAGAATTGGCAAAAACACAAAGACTTCTCTCGGTATCACTGTTTTTGATTCCACCATTTTCTACTGCATTGTTGTAAGACCTGAAGAAGGGGGATGTGTTTGCCCCCAAAATGTGTCAGCTGTTTTATTGATTAGATTGAACTTCAAACATTCCACCTTTAATGGACTCTTATAGTTGATTGGCTTGGCGCCCATCCTTTAGATCCTTTTTAGAGGCAGCTGGCATCCAAGCGACCAATCAAGCTCAGCAAAACAAGTGAAACAATCAGACTCAGTCACACAACGTGGCATCCTAGCTACCATTTGGTTGGGTCGCATCGTCACGTGCATCAAATGCAGGAAGTTCTTCATTGCAATACTTTTGCATCATGTCACAATGGTTGAAAATAATTCATGAACAAAATATCGCCATTTCGGAAATAGGAAAACTGGCAGTTAATATGACCAATATCATTTTGGAGTAATTTGTATAGGGAGTGAGGAGTTTGTCTAGCCCTAGTCTAGCTGGACAAAGTCATTGTTTGATAGGATGCTGGCGGATCCAAGGCAGCCACCGCCCTAGCAATCAACCAGGCTCGGCCACACAATGCCATTGGTTGATAGAATACCGGTAGATCCACGGCCGCCGCTGTCCTAGCAATCAACCGGGCTCAGCCACACAAAGTCATCCGTTGATAGCATGCTGGGGAATCCAAGGCAGCCATTGTCCTAGCAATTAACCAGGCTCGGCCGCACAGCATCATTGGTTGATAGGATGCCGGCGGATACAAGGCAGCCACCACCATAGCAATCAGCCAGGCTTGGCCACATGCCATTGGTTAATAGGAAGCTGGCCGATCCAAGGCAGCCGCCATCCTAGCAATCAACCAGGGTTGATCACACAATGTCCTTGGTCGATAGGATGCCGATGGATCCAAGGCAGCCACCATCCTAGCAATCAACCACGGCTGATCACACAACGTCCTTGTTTGATAGGATGCTGATGGATCCAAGGCAG